AATAGACCATTTGTGGGTCTGTGATTTGTATATTAAGTGTTCAACAAAGAACCATGGTGCATATCATTCATGTGTGAAGTTTACTATCACTGCTGACGTAGTATGATAATAATCACATTACAAGTCATAATTTTATGCAGAGTGTTATCACAGTGGTAGTAGAAATTGAAACTGGATAACAGTTACCTAACATGGTGCAATGACAATATTTTGAACAAATATCGTAAAGATGGGAAATACTTCTGCTGAAATCTGTTGGTGGCAAAATTGCATCATCCACCAATGTGCTCAGATGCAATATCTAATTAGCATTCAATTCATATTGAGCAACAAAATAAAAAAAAATCCCCCTCAATAAAATCTCGGTAGCTATTTATAGGTTGGTTAACAAAGCACATGGTCAAAAACCAAAATGGGTAGGAAACAACTACCTGGTTCAATTTCATGATATGGTATTATACAGACACGAAGTATGATAAACAAGATGGTGGATATGATGACTTAATCAGAAAAAACATTGTGTGATACTAACCCCTACGAAAGATCACCAGTTACACATCCCTAAAGAACTTTATACCTATGTGACCTCAAGGACACTTGTACATCTTATAATAGTGAATTGTCACACTATCGATTTTAAACACCATTATATTAGAACAAACATTCTTTGGCATAGTGTAACTAAATTATTAAAATATGTTGTCTTGAATGCATCTACTGAAAAAATCCGATGTATTCATCCAATTATATTATAACACATTACATATCACAACTACTGTTAAACAGGTTTTTTTAGCTTATAGTATAGCTAACTTGTGATTATTCAGTGGAAAGCTCATTTTATAACACTTATGCCCAATTTCACAAAAATTACATGTAAGTATGTATGTATGCAGTCAAATGATAACCAATCAACCATACATACTCAATAAATTGTCTCTTACCTTGGGGGCATTTGGTGATGTGGGCGTGGCTGCTTTATTTCCTGGTTTCACCTTGTTTGTTTTTTTCCTGATTGGTGCAGCTGGTGCATTGAGCGCATCCATGAAACCACCACTTTCGTGAATAATGTGTATAGCTATAACAAGAACAAATTATATTAGTTGAAAAATCTTTATGGGTACAAAAGAAATTTATACAGTTTTTATGTTTTAAATCTAATAAACAATTTTTATCTTCAAAATATGATGAGCATTGTAAATTTGAACACAAATGGTAGTGTAAGCACTGTCAGAGTAAAGCATTCCATGGATGGAGAGGTCACCATCCTGTCTGTGGTGGACGACATTGTCTGAATTGTATGCTGTCGTTAACTCAATGTAAACATATGAGCTTATACTTGATTCTACAAAGAGGTTGTGTATCTGAGTCAAATTAATATATCTGATTGGAAGTGCTGGCACTTAATCAGAATTGCATAAGAATACAGCAATGGATATGAAACGAGATTGAGGGATTGCCAAAGTGGGCACATTTGAACACACACTCACTGGATAGAATCTACCATGATGGGTGAACAATTGAAATATTCCACTGCAAATACAGATACTTACGTTTAGGTCTTGCTGGTATAAGTTTAGCTTTTTTCTGAGCTGTGGATGTTGATGTAGTGGTAGCCGTGCTGTTGGATGATGTAAATGTAGGTGTAGATGTGGTAGTTGTAGACGTCGTCACTGGCGTTGGTTTTGTTTTTTTCTCAGGAGGCTGTACCGATTTATTGAGTTCAGTGCTAGGAAATAAAACATACAAAGCAGAGAGGTCAATATATACGCATATATACAGATTAAAGCTTCTTTCTGTTTTTAATGTAGAATGTTACATACCCTGTTCTTTTTAAATATTTTGGAACTGATGGTTTGTCAGAATTCCCAGTACTAGTTTTTTTCTTCAACTTGACTGGTGGCAGCTTGGTTTCCTTTTCAAGACCTGGAAAATAAAATACAAGGTTACAAGGTTAAGCACAAAAAGAAAAAAATTCCAAATTGCTGCTGAAATAAATCAAACATGCAATTGGCCAAACTTTTGGCAAACACCATGAAATTAAAATGTTTCACAATAGATGTATTTAGAGTTCTATGAGTTTCTACAGTGGTCATTGGTTGAAATGAATATTTATATAACGATGTCACAGCAAAACCACCGACTACACAAATTGTTTTTCACATTACGTTACCTGTAGACCTGAACTTGGCATGTGCTGGCACAGACATCTTGGCAGAACGTTTTTTTTTTTCTTCACCTTCTTTGGGACCATTTGTTTTCTTTTTCTTCTTTTTCTCTGGTTTGTCTGTTTAAAAATAAAAAAAATAAGTATAAATAAAATTTGACAATACATACAAAATATAATGTTATAAATATACCGGTATATGTTCTGCTGATGAAATGCTTCTAAAGGTACGGAACTAGATATAACATACTGGTATGTATTTACAATCAGGAACAGCCTCACTTTACATAAAAACATGTTGATTCAAAACGTGTACTATCAAATACATAGGAACTTTTGAGTCAGGCTCATCTGAGGTTTTCAATTTTATCAGACAGTGTATACATTCTATTTTCGCATGAGATAAAATGAATGCAGTTTGGTCTTGATGCACGTTGATAGTGGACAAATTTATCCACAGTCTGATAATCATTCTATACAATTTAAAATTTATACAACTGAAGAAAAGATGTACAGGTACACTATTTCCAACCTTAAATACAAACAATAATCACCTGTTGTACTGCTTGTCTTTATTAGACTCATCCACTCTGTAACTAAATTACTAGCCAATTGTTTAGTTTCTGTAGAATATAAATGAAGTATTTATTAAAGCAAATTCAAAAAACAGTAATAATCCCAAAAGTGTAAATTTATCATACAAGTATTGAACAGCAAATGATGTACTTACGTTCATTATAGTCACCTTTGCTTATCTGTTTCACAACTTTGGCTGTGTTATTCTGAAAAGTAAAGAAACATTTTCATTGATTATCTGAAAAATATTACATTATATGGTATTTCATTACATTATTTATACATATATGTACATCTGACAACTGAATATGGTAAGAACTGTTAGATGATCGTAACCTTGGCCATGGGCTGACATGACACTTTTCAATTTTGTCTTTGTCTATTGGGCTTTCACACACTGCGAAATGAGTAATTTATCTTACTCCATGCTGACTTTGTATATATATAAATGTCTGTATATGAACCCTGATATTTGTTTCCATTGTTTGGAAATGTTGTGATCAAAAGAAAAACGATTTCAACATGAATGTTGTCAGTAACATTTTGTTAAGTTGTTCAACACCCAGAATTCCAATGGGTAAGGAAGAAAAAAAATGAACATGCACATCCAAGTCTGTTGTTTTCCTGATTGACGAGTGTGGTATCGAAATATTCGAAACATTTCACATTAAATAGGAGGGGTGGTCACCTGCGCACGTGTGGGAATTGAGTCCCAGCCGATAACAACGCAAAGGCTCATGGGTGGACGCTTGTTTGTAAACAAAAACACGCTATGGCCATCTTACGCATGACGCATATAACAACATTCACTTACCTGTTTAAGAATGTCTATCGTCATAGGCAGTTGCTTCAGAATTTTCATAACCTCTGTCAACATTGCCAAATTATTTTCATCTTTGGCGTCTACCAGCCACGTATTAAGGACGTTCCAGCCCCCAACTTCCACGAACCTAGAAACAAACCACCCACTGATATGTGAGGAATTAAATATAAATTACTTTATTGGGTGAAACACGAAATATAAAGTCAAGGATTAATAAGATGGGGTGTGATATGCACTGAAGATCTCAATATGTAGTGAATTAAGAGATAATCAAAAATCACAAAAATAACGTACATTCCTATAAATACCCACTCCAAACAAGTCATTGAAAATGACACAGTCCCCGTTAAATTTTTGAAAGTTGTCTTTGTGCTCGTCATATTAAAGCGGAGGGGTTGTCGCGAACGTGTCCTTGAAACTTGAGTTCCAAGTGGCGTATACAACAGATTGTTTATTTACATCAAAACACGTATTCCGTGTAGTAGTAATATGGCCAAAAATAAAAACAGCCGTTATTCGGCCATCTTTGATCTGACTATGAAACACACTGATATGTATGACGTATGTGCCAAATATGAATGAAAATGGTACATAAATTGTGGAAATATAGTAGTAAGGCCAAAAAGTCAGATGGCTGTCAATCGGCCATCCTTGACCAGATTTTGAAACAAATTGTCATGGACATGTATCCTAACATGTATAATCCATGTACCAAGTTTGAATGAAAACTGACAAAGCATGTCCAAAATACAACATTTTCAAAAAACAAAATGGCTGACAGTCGGCCATTTTGAATCGAATCGCTAAACCACTGCATGTGCATATGTCCCACATAAAGTACTAGGCACATGCGAAGAATGAACGGAATCGATCTAAGGGATTCTGAGATATGACTCTGGACAGAAGCACATACGCACAGGCTGAGACCGAATTATAAGTCCCCATTTTCGGACTTCGGGAACTAAATATACTATTTCACACACAAAAAAATGACTCAAAGTCAATGACTATGATGATTTTTGAGCTATTTATAATTTGAAAAATATAGTGCAAAAAACACATGTTGTGCCCAAATTGAAACAAATTGACTTGTTCCTCTACTTAAATAGGTGTAACATGCTCACATAATCTTTATATGCGATTCTCCTTTATAATACAGGATATTGTATGTCTGGGTTTAGGTAAAAGGAATTGAGCAGTCAAATCTTGCAAACATTTTTTTCTAATGGTTTATTTGTCAAATGATAAAATTTAAAAGACTAATGTAAACAGATACAGTATTTTCTCAATCAGTAGCAAATAAACAAACGTGACACCTCAGTTACACATATTTTTTGGATACATTTAAAATGACAACAAAACAAATTAGTTCAGCTTTTACGCTTCTTTTGCAGATGTGACGAATACACTGAACAAATATTTTGTGTATGATGACAAAATTTGAGAAGAGCTGGATAGGTGTTTTTTAATAGTTTACCAAACGATTACCAAATATTATCTAGTGAATAGGTCAAAATCTTGAGCTAGTTTACTTACTTATCCAAAGCACTTTTATCGGTGGTCACTTTAAGAATGTTACAATAGGTACACCTACTCACGAGTTTCTTGGCATCACGCATTAAACTGAAAAACAAAATATCAATTGTTTAAATATTACGCATGACAATTTGCAAATTATTTAGTTTAGTTTAAGGTCAATGACCCCCACTCACCTGACTAGTCTAACTACTTCTTGTGAACTCTTGATACGACCATCATCACTCAGTAATGGTGATAAAGCTTTCAGCAACTGCAGAGGATCTACTGCATTTGAATTCTAAAAATCAATGAATATGTATTTTATTAATTTTATAAATTAATATTTTGCATCTTCTGCAGCATGGCTATTGAAATGTCGCACTGCTTTGAGGAATAATTGACAAGTTGCATTTATGTCGCACAGTAATAATGAAAAACTAAATTTCTCAACGACAAAAACAATTTAAATAAGCTGATCATGAACTAATCCAATTATTCTTAAAACAACTTCGGCATCAGCTAGTGCATAAATTATTTTACTTTTAAATGAAGGAGCCAAAAGTTTGGCAATCAAATGTCACTCAAGAAATAATTGCAATTCGGGTAATCAACACTTGTTCTTGCATTTTCCATACAAACCAGGACACAATGTCAAGTCACTGTATTATGTTATTCAAGACTACATCAATGCCTATAGCATTTTATTAGTAGAGAGTGGTCCAACTGGCTATAGAACAAAATGCAAGTTCCACTCCCGAAATTAACATTTTGTTTTGTCTGTTAAAACTTAATTCAAATTTGATTAATTCCTGTTGTGAATTTTATCTGAGATGCCAATGGTAAATGTAAAAAATTTAAGGTATTTCATTGTTTATGCTCAAAACACTATTCTCAAACATTCAGATTACTTGATACATACAGAACAATAGCAAGCATAGTGTAAAATAAAAATGACACAGATAATTTCTTTTCTTGCAAGTTTATTGCCTTTTCATTGTAAAATATATATACATTCTCAGTTATAAAAATATATGCAATATTAAATTACAAAAATGTTCACTACATCACTATACCAAATGCGCAATTCTATTTTTAAGAAACCTTTGCAAACTATTTCAGTAATGTTAAGACATTTCTTTGAAAACAAAGGCCTTCTTACTAAGCTTTCACATTTTGTGTTACTTGATTTGAAATTACATTTCAAATAAAAGGTCCTCAAATACTGTAGTTCTCATGTAAGCCAAATTAGCTTGGTAAGCTAAATCAATCTATTTGCAATAATCAAGATCACTCAAAGGTAAAAAATAAATTTCACCCAATTGTTAGGAAAGTCAACTTTCACTTGCATTTTAAAATAATACTAGTCATTAGCTAATTTGCGGGTCACATAACCATAGTTACCAAATAAGCTTGCATCAGAATGATGAGAAAGCGGTTATCAAGTATATTTAATTCAAGAAATAGGGTAATACTGTAAATCGTTTAATTTTTAAAGCTAATATTTTCACGATTTGAAGATTTTATGGCATTGGTGAATACAAAATACCCCGAAAGTCATCGGCAAGTGTTATAAAACCCCAGAGAAATTACCACTGCAACGTTTTGTATTTTCGCAGACATGCACAAAATTATAGCAGTTTACTGTTATAACTGCCAAAAGCCGAAATGAAAGGGGCAAAACGACTTCTGTGGGCAATGCGTCAACAGGTAATTGAGGAAATCATCTAATTTCAAAGGGCGGTAGTCGTCGCGGCACGCATGTGTGTTGATAAACATCGATTTTCCTACAATCTTAAAAAAAAAAAAGCGCTCTTCTAATGGCAATCACAAGTATGAGGTTTGACCTGGGCGCGACTTGCACTAATCACCAGCAGTTACTCCATCGATACCTTCTAATTGCCTAAAATACCTAATTAAAGCTTGTTAACGTTTCAGTTTGTACTCTTTGATGTGCGCAATAGCCAAAGTCGTCATCTTTGTTTATACGAGTCCCATATATCTTGCACATGCGTAGCGCGACAAATACCGTCCTTTAACCAATTTACTGTATTTGGTCATTGTGTAACTTTCACGGCTAATTCAAATTTTGCTTATAATCCCAAACAGCTTAGAAGATTTCCTACAATACCTACAACTCGGCTTTGAATTCTTGTAGATGGGCTTTGTTCTCAGTTTCAGTACTGCACGTTTCATAGTCTCTTCAAAAACGATTACATTATTTTTGTTATGCTTACCAGGTTCTCAAAAGTTGATGAACGCAGTTTCAACAAGTTATTAAGAATTTGATGATACTGAGAATAGATGGGTCGTGTGCAGACAATACAACTGTGATAGGATGTCTATCATATGGTATCAAAGGTTATGCTATTAGGAAATGGAGTAAATTACCATAACAATCATAGCAAATAATGTAAACATGTCATTTTAGCGAGCATGTCATTTTAGCTAATTAGCAAAATTAAGTTGTCCCTAATTAGAATAGAGTAAATTCTTACAGTGAGATTCAGTTAATTCATGCATTGAGTCAAATTTGCTAAAATGGAATGTGGCTATTTCAAAGTGTTTTACAGTAATATGAACTCCAATTGTAAAACTAATGGAACATAGTCAAATTAAAGCCAAATGCCCAGCTCAGAAAGATAACAAAAAAATTTCGAGCCAACTTTTGTTTTTTCAAAATAATGCACATTGACATAAATATTGAATTTTGTCAATTTTTTTTCAAAAACGTTAAGAAAATTCTCGAAAGGTTATTACTGCAAAATGACTAATATTCATTGGGTTTAAATTTCGCTGATTTACCATCTCATGTTCTGTGGGTTTTAAATTCACAGTATTATCATTTAGAATAATGTGTTTCATGTTCAATTTTACATATTCACTGGGTTTTAATTTAGCGCATCTTCCAGTCAGCAAAATGCAAAATTAAAACCCAGTGAATAATTAACCCTTTTACAGTATATGCACATTTTTAACTGATGCATGCGATGACCAGAAACAGGTTTTCTTTTCATGGTCTAAATTGCCATAGTCTGTTTCATGGCATTTTTTGATACAGGTCCTAAAAAACTAATTCAAAATGGAAAGCTGCAACTGTTGCACTCAACGATTGATGAGACCAATTTTGATTAATTATTCTGTGACAGAATTTCTATTTTTTGTATTATGAACATCAATTTTGTGCATTTTGTTCAAATTCAAAATGGCCACTAGAGTTGAGTTTAATGCTATGGGTTAATCAGCCATGATTTCCCTAGAAACAATGCTATGCACCCCTCTACATGCTCTTTCATTTAATGGACCTTTCTCTCAGCAAAATATAAATTGCTTTTACAAGTTAGAAGCGCCCACCCAGTGGATGCCAAAACGTTCATCTCGTATGGTCAATATTTTCATCTCAAAGAGGCAACGCTATTGTAAATGTGGGTAGTTTCATTCTTGAACCATGCATTCTAAATGTGTGTGAAAAGCAGCAACAAAATTTAATCGTCACACAATGGATTAAACCATTGTGAAAACTTGTGAATTGGGTTAGACCTTTGTAAGAATAGGTGCTCACACTTCATCGAATTGTAGCTGAAAGGAAGAAACTATTGTAAAGCAGGTTATAAATTTGTACTCACTAATGAGGGGAAAAAATTTGAAATCTAATTGGTGGTTTAAATTTGTGTGAAAGCTGCAACAAAATTCAATAGTTAAGATGGTGCAGACTACTCCTACACACATGTGAAGCTTAATATTTTTTCCACAAAAGCTCAGTACTTTTTCATCGTAAACAAAACTAGCAGTTTGTGAAAGTCAGCCATGAATCCAATGGTGCCTATGCATGCGTGTCATAATAGCATCAATTCAGGCAAATTTTATTTGTACTTTGCAGAATTCATTGTAATCTAATTTTATAATTGTGTCACAGTTCCACTATATGCACTTATTTTTGACACATTTTTTTTACTAGTGAGATGAACCCTATAGATTACACTCTTTTGCTCAGTGAACCTATATGTGGAAGTTGCCCCCAGAAATCGATCAGAAAATCTGAATGTGATTAAAGCATAATTTTTTCATCAATTTGCACATTGATAACTTTTTAAAGTCCAGGTGTATTTTTTTTAAGTATTGGAAACTGGTAGTGTGTTCTCTCTAAGCAAACTAGCACCGGAAAATGAGATTTCATCTCAAAAGCAAACTTGAATCAGGCGTATTTAAAATGCATAAAATGAAAAGTTACTTAGAAGATTCAATTTTACAGAGAAACATAAGCTTGTCAGTGAGAATTAAATAACTGCTGGCAATGTAATGATATTCTACACTGCACATTATAAAAGTATATGGCAAGATCAGCAAGGTAGACAGCTGCACAGGTTTCTTGATAGATAGCACTCAAAACACTATCATTTATGAAAACTGTGAATGTTTTTATACCAAATATTTATCAATGTTTCATAAATTTCAAATGTTTGAAAACAACTTGAAAGATCACAATGCCTTGGCTGAATGAATACTAATAAGAATGTATTCCAGAACAGTCAATGTGGCCTCAGACACATCAAGATGATTTCCTTGGTACCTGAAAATGAATGTGTTTTACAATTTAAACCAATTTGTACTAAACTGCAGTTATGGTGTTATATACTTGCAATATAAACAGTTATTTTGATGAGTTTTGAATAAATTTATGGGTCTATTTGCTGTGTAAATTGGCCACAATTGCGAGAGACGGAGATTTGTGTGTTTTTCTAGCTAATGAAAATGTATGAACCGATGTAATACTTGGGTCATCCAGTGTCAACCAATCTCACCTTTCTGAAAAGCACAACATGGACAAAATATCAATTGTACAAATAGCTGTTGATACAAGTAACTTCTGTTATAGTTTTCATTTCATTATTGTTTTGCTTTTATTTTGTAGTATCAGTCTATTGCCTGCCTACTATCAACAGTTTGTAGAGATTTCTTGGAGCATGCAATTCCCAAAACTACTGGATTGCCGAAGCAGTAGGTTGGTTTTGGTGAAAATTATTAGTGTCCATGTATCACTTTGTAACTGTTCACAATCAAAATAAGCATGTCTCTGTGGAAAGACACATTTTCAAAATTCATTGATAATGTTATAGGACCTAGAAATCCAACTAGTCTCAACATGTACAATATACAAACATAGGAAGAGATAGCTTTAGCTTACCATCTGCTATTTCTATGGCTATACTTACACATAGCTGATTGTCTCACGTCATTAGGAATTCAAGTGAACGGCCAGCAGGCATGACCAAACTAACGGTAATAATGATGGCCAAATTTTATGAACTTGCTGTGCACTTTTCCGATAAGGAGAAAATAAATTTCAGTAACTGAATGGAGAACTAATCCCAGGATTAGGCCAGAAACGAAAATAACTAGCACAGAGGAATTGCCAAAGTGCAAATAAGCTAATGCATTTTTTTGAACATTGATTCTGCATTTTGTTTTTAATAATTGTACCTCCAATATTGGTCACCGACTTGGGTATAAACAATTGCTGAGCGAGTTTTTTTGAGATGCAGTTGGACTGAAGATGTGGGCCTTATATTGAATTGATCAAAGCATAGAATCCAAGGCATTAAGATACAAGTCTCAGATATACTACATACAGTGCATATCATATATATAAACAGTAGTTTCAGGTAATCATTGCTGATATAGATATCAAACTAATGTTGTTTTTCAATAATCCAAACATAATCGAGAAATTGAATTGAATAGTCTAAACGTTCTTTATCTGTACCATCACTTGGTGGTAGACAGTCAAGTGTCTATATCACATTTACTCTATTAGAAGCACACGTCAGGTAAATGAAAAATTGCATTTGATGTATGCCGGATCATTAAAATGTCATTTTGACACATCTACCATATGTTCTTGATTAGTAGCGCATACGTAAATTAGCGAAATGTTTTATGGCCAAACTGGTAATATTTTAATTATACTCATGGAAAAACAAATTTTGTTATACACACTTCTAACAGAACAAATATGGTATATCATTTCCATAGCTATATGCAATACTGATAGAGCAAATACCATACTTAAACTTAACTAGACAATATTACATAAAATGCACAACATAACTTATATATTCATTAAGTAGCTAGATTTTTTTTTGAACCAATAATAGATAGAAAAGGGTAGTTGGAAATTGCAGTCCTAAGCCAGAATGTTTTTTTTTTTTTAATAATTACCAAGAACTACAATTGCCTACTACAATTTAGGACCTCCTTTTAGTCACAAAATGAGCAACTTACAGGAGATGCAAGAGGTATAGGGTTAAATATAGACAATCCCTGGGTGAATGAACAGTGCCCAGTATGAAATTGAAGGTGAAACACGAACAGGAACATTAAAATATCCAGCATGAAAAACCAAGTTTGAATGAAATCATCCTAGACAGGTCTGAAAACCATCACAGAAACAACTATTTTTGAAACAAAATAGATCGGCAACCGATATGCCAAAATGATATCCATTAGTAAGACCATGCACACAAAATAACCCACTCCCTGGATTTGCAACTTGTAAAATTTCTAAATGTCATCCTTTTTGGAGAATTTGAGAGATCATGAATGATTTTTCGATCATATCAGTAAAAAAAATATAATTAGTTGTGCTTTTTGTTCAAAAAAATCTTGGCCTCTTGGTTTTCTCATGAAAAAAATCAGCAAAGAAAGTTTTTTGGGCGTTCAAGCAGCAAATAATCAGCAAAGAATCAACACCTCAAATGACATGCTTATGTGACATAGAATTCATAGAATTCAAGTGATTGACAAACAGTAAACTGTCATGTCTATGCTCATGGTTGTCTAATCTTAGGGATTTAAATCATCAGAAGTCGTTAAACAAACCAGTCTCAACCATTCTTTCAAATACAGTACAACCTAAATATTTATGTCACTCACGCTAGAAAAGACGAAAAATCACACATTCCATCCAAAAAAAAGATATTGTAACAAATATTTGATTTATACTCGATATTAAACACACAATAAACCTGTCATTATGTATACCTTATGACAGTGACCAGAATAACCAGAAACATATGTTGAATTATAGAATATAAAGAAATCCTACAGTATCAAAACTGCACTCTGTAGAGCCATTTCTTACAAGGTCCTTTCATGACCACACAAGCAAAACTAAAGAGAAAGGTGTAGCTAGAAATTCATCATTACAGATCTCTAGATTACCAACTCTGTATATTGAAACAGACTATGTTTTCAAGCAACCAGAATGGCTACCTTGGTCATTCGAAATGGTCTCAAAATTAAATGGAATATACTTTTAGCACCACAAATCTTTTACATGTTTAGAAAACATTACAATGCATTGTTTGTTGGTGAAACGTTGCTTGACGAAAATTACACACATTACCCCAAAGGGTCCTCTGCTGTACCCGGTAATCACAGAATGTGGCCGCAACATTAATATACCTTTGACGCAAATGACAGCTGAAAGCAAGGAAGCCACACCTCTCAAATAGTGTTCCATTCTTTCTTGTCAACACGTTCAGTATTCCAAACAGCATGGTTAGACACATCAGTTAATCAAGTTGCATGGTTCTCTGGCTTTCAACAAGATCTCAGCTGCCATTAGCAAACAAGGTCTATTTATGATTGGTACAATTCTGAGGAGAGATTTTGATTAATTGTAACTTTTATACAGCTCACAAATGTGAGGGAAAAGCATAGTAAGAGATGGCTTTAACAGAGTGCAACTTTAAGACATGTGTGTCTATTAACACAAAACACAAAATCATTTGGATTTAACTTAAAACGTTGCACAATTATTTCTCAAGTGACCATTTGAGTGCAATCATTTGAAGAGAAACTATTGAAAATGTACAAATGTAATAGAAAAAAAAATACAGCTGACACTAATACAGTTCGTTACGTTAATGTCTATGCAATTACCATCTTGTATCTTTGAAACTAAGAAAAGGAACCGACAACAAACAGGCCAGTAAACTTTGTAGGAAATATATAAACTGATTGCAAGAGACTTCTATAGTTATGGTCTTCAACCTACAGAACAAGAACAAACATAAAAAAAATATATTAGTTGTGCCACCAATAATATCTTCTGAACATAACTCATTTGCATATGAATTACAGCAACCAAAAACACGATTCATACAGGAAACTCCCTAGGAACATTGCAATATAGCAAAAACTTTTCTATTGACGCTATCAAATGATCTAATGTTACAAATACAATTTTCTATATTTTGTGACATATATTTTCCCTCGCACCACTTGACTAGGGCCAATTAATTTTTGTGAAGGTTTGTACTATGGCTAATTTGTTGTCTGTTTTCATAGTGCAACATTGAAAGTTGTAAATTATCTGTACAATTACAAATCTCATTTGCGGTTAGTTATTGGAATAATGATTAGGACTTTCCCAGAGAAGTTGCAAGTTACCCGTATGAATCTTGTTATGTGCTTGATGTAATAACTGTAGTAACATTCATTTTCACTGGTATTTACTTTCATAATTTCTGTATTTAATCATATTGACTGGGTTGCAATTCACAAATTTTCCAGTAAAGTAACAAGTACTATTATAATTTTACTTGCTTACACGGATTTAATTTAGCAAATGTCATGAAAAGAGCAAAATTAAAAGCTAGTGAATAATTAATGTATTTACAGTACAGTCTGTATGGCCAAGATACTACTGTAAAGAAAACTATTACTACATTTGTTGATGCTTTTCACCACACTGGATTACAAATGAAGAAAGTTATTATGTTTTATAAAAAGATAAAGGCATTACAAGTTGGGCCGGGATAGACAATGTGTGAGGCTTATTTGAAGTTTGTGCTTGAAGCACACTATCAATGGCTTGTCATTACCGACATGTGTACAAAACGATTGCACATTTCTAGGAGCTCACAGTACTATAAGTTAAACATTTACCTACAAACGATTTGATAAACAAATGAATAGTAGTGTTCATGCTACACAAAGTACGAGTTAAGATTTAAGCTGATTTAGGCTTATCTCACATGTTTGCATTTCGGTTAAACCCAATTGCGTCCACGCACTGGGAGGGCCAGTCCTTAGCACAGGCTAAGAGAAGCCATCAGTCCGTGACCTTTGTTAAGCCGCTGTTTTCAAAAGCAAAATTTCTGCTGCTGACATGTTTCGTTCTAATTTTGAAGCGTCGTGCATAGGAACGCGAGAGAAGGCGAACCAAACTTATTTGGATGCAAAGAAACAGTATACAACAGCGTAACAGAATGCAGAGTTTTATTAATGTATGTTGTAGACAACGTACCAAATTTATTTTGTATACAATTGGAGCTGCTGTACCTCTACTACAGTGACCCAATCAGTTTGGAAGCATGTGCGGAGTAATGACTGGTGGAATAGACGACTTTCTTGAAAGTTGCATATATTTGATCACGTGCATAATACACATGTATTCACATCCAAAGATCGGCACAGAGGGCGCTTAGCCCTGGGCTAAGTGTTCGCGCACACAACGTTAGCCCGTGCCAAGTTTCAGATTTTACCCGTACTTAGCATTCCTTAGCCCATGCTAAGTGTACACGCATGTTTTCTTAGCACGGGCTAGGGAATTTGACCTCTTAGCCCGTGCTAAGAAGCTGTGGGTGAATGCAACTAATAGTTGGAGGATTATTTTAGTAGTTTTATGGCAAATAATTATGACATTCAGACAAAAACACCCAAGTGACTCACAAATAGTCAATTGAAGAGAGGTTACTTGGACAAGTCAATTCAACAAGGGTTACTTGACAAGTCAATTGAACAGAGGTCACATGGATATGTATGTCAATTTAACATTGATATGTACATTTCATCTCAACAGTGGTCACATGGACATGTCAAATTCAACAGTTAGTGGTGACATATACATGTACAGAATTCAACAGTGGTCACAGGTACATATCAGTTCAACAGAAGACATGACAATTCAACAGTGGTCACAGGTACATATCAGTTCAACAGAAGACATGCCAATTCAACAGTGGTCACAGGTACATATCAGTTCAACAGAAGACATGACAATTCAACAGTGGTCACAGGTACATCAGTTCAACAGAAGACATGACAATTCAACAGTGGTCACAGGTACATATCAGTTCAACAGAAGACATGCCAATTCAACAGTGGTCACATGGACTTAAAAATCAACATTAGACAATCCAATAAATACCATTCTCAAGTTCACACATCTGTAACTATTTTGAACTTTTCAAGAAAAAGTTGGCAGTACTTCCTCTCACAGTACATGCTTGAAATAAACACCCAAGTTAATAATTAGTACACTGTATTTATGATAATTATTAGAAAAATAATCACATACAAACGTTCATCAACACTTTATAAGAACCTTTTAAAACGAAATTATTCTGAAAACGCCAATCAAATGGTTAAATTTTGATTTGTTATTTTGAGAGGGTCCAGTTAATCTTCAGTCACATGACTCTTATGTAAACGATGGGATATCCCCTGTTGCTACCTTAAATCAATGCAAGTTACAT